TGCTTATTCCTCGCAGACCAGGCACCAGCTGGTGCATGTGAACATTTCGTCAGCCAGTTTAACTCTTTGGTTGCCGAAGCGTCAGCGGCTAAGACATTCCGCGCGAGAAACGTGGTCTCCTTTCTGCGAAACAGGACACGGAAGTGTAAAGCGTTGCGAAACTCAGCCTGGCATATCTACAAACTCTCCCCGAGCACCGAAAAGTGGATGGCTTATGCGACTCAACGTAATCACTTTACTCAGCTTGTTCGCGAGGATAGAAGTACGTAGCAGCAGAAGTTGGCAGTGCGCATGGTCAAAAACCTCAAGATTTTGTGTCAACATGTCAACAGTTTAAGTAAAGTGAAACGGGGAATTCCTCCTCTTCAAACAGCGGACGGACCCACACGGACACCGAAAGGGGTGGAGAATACACTGCGCCTACAACATGTTACAACATTGGCCACCTAACCATAGGACGATGGTTGGTTTACCCCAAAACTCATTCACATATCCTTCACGGCAGCAGCTGTGCTAAAAGGGCTGTTGAGCAGGCTCAAGCACAGCTCTTCTGGATTTGATAATAAACGTACGAAATAATTAGCGACAGTAAGAGAATTTGGCTGAAGCTTGGGCTCGCTTCTGTCAACACTGTTTTGAAGAAATATACTTGCATGATATGTGGGAACACGGGATGATTACTCCTATTCACAAGTGAGGTAATGGTTCCATTCAAGCTGACTACCGTCCCATAATCTTACTACCAATTCTTCCCAAGGTCATGGAAACTATTAATTCTGATGCGCTAACGACACACTTAAAAACATTAAACTACCTCGCACCGGAACAACATGACTTCCGACGAAATCGATAGTGCACTACAAACTTACTACTAGCACGGTCCAGCTAGACTGAAGTTGAGGTAGTCTTTCTCGACTTCTCAAAGGCTTTCGACCGGATAGACCATAACATTCTGCTCCCCAAACTCCAGCCCTTTGGTAATAGTTATGCTCTCCTAGGATGGATCAGAAGCTTCCTTCTGCATCAGTGCGTAGAATAATGTGTACGTGTATCATTTTCAGGTTCCATCCGCGTTGAATGCAAAGTACAAAGCGGATGGATACTAGAACCGTGGTTATTTTTGACGTATATTAATGATTTCACACCTATCATAAGTTTGAACTGTCTTCTTTATGCCAAGGACATCAGGTTGTGGAGGGCGATAAATGCACCAGATTATATCACAGTAATTCAAGTTCATTTTGATAAAGCATACGCGTGGTTAGATAAGCATGTACTTCTATTCAATGTGGACAAAGGTAGAGTGTTCCACCTGTAGCACAAGTTGGTGCACTCCCAAATACTCGGCAACCAGGAGCTTCAAACTTCTTTTGGCGAGATGGATCTGGGAGTTTTGGTCTAGGTCTACCTTGGCTTTTCGAAGCAGGCTGAACCGGAGTCTAGGAAGGGCATCTAACAAACGAGTCTCCTGAAGTGTGTATTCGGACGATCGATCCTCCGATTTTTCCACAACTTCTCTGCTCATGGACGCAGCCACGTGTAAAATACGCAATACAAGTCTGGCAGCCATGGCTGAGGAGAGATCTCACCGTCTTGGAGATACCCCAACTTTGGGCAACCAAGAATTCCAAAAGTCTGTATACCTTGCCGTATGAAGGAAGGCCACAAGTACTCGAGTTCTTCAACGGGCAGTATCGGCGATTGCGCGAGACCGCATTTTGACTTACCAACTTTTGCGAGATCCTAACCACACGTCCCGCTATTTACTAGAGCTCAGGCACAACAGAAATTTGAGAGGCCACTATCTCAAACTGGCAGAGCAGTACAGTCACTTGGAATGCCGTCGGACTTGCTCTTCCGTACGCGTTTACAGAACGTGGGATGCCCTGCTGGAATTTGTCATATGTGCTCCCACGCTGGCAGAATTCAAATCCAGGGTAGACCGTGCACTCATTTCGATGCACCATCTTACATGACCCATAAGCCATGGATAAACACAAGTGTCCGGACGCGATTTCACTGGTGGACAAATCCCATATTTCGTTCCACGTTTTTCACCTCCTATGTGTACACCAGAAGGAGACACGATTTTTATCAACATCCAACTTGCCGCCATTTCTTATGGATTTACCTTGGATGTACAATGTAATCTGCGTATACCTCAGTGAGTTCACTGGTGTAAACCCAATTTTGCTAGCAATTTTTTTTATATTTTGCAGTTTCACCATAACCATACTACGGGACCTGTTAGGCATTAACTTCTTTAGCCGTATAAAACCACTGTTCCGTTGTCAATATATGCACGGTTACAGCCTGCCATAGGAGTTGTCAATCTAATTGCTGGCGTTTTGAACACCATACCGCACTGGAATACGTGAGAAACGTGGATCGAAATGTGATGTGTAACCACGACAAAGCACGGGGATGCGTGGAGCTCTAGCTCAAAACAAAACACTAACGTGTTTACTCCGTTACAGGTGCCACGCCAATTGTAGTACGATTAAAACCGAGATGGATCGTGCAACTTGACCGTTAGATTTATTATTTGTTTTACTTATCCTTACAAAGATTTGTGGACCGAAACCCCTCTTAGGTGACGGCAGTTTTCCAGGAAGTGTAAGGTTTCCAATTGCCAGCCTTTCTCTTTACAGAAGGCTACAAAAATCTGTTTAACGATACTGCGACGTGGTGAAGTTTACTCGCCATTAACTAAAGTCACTGTACCTTTCGTATTTAGATTATCTCACCCAATCCACGGATGTCCGTCATCAGATATGTATAAAACGTCTTCGCTTTCAACCAACTAGTTGTTGTTTACCTGACACTAACGAAAATAAAATAGAACATAAATTTGCACATAAACCATGGTAGAATATTTGAGGAATGAGCTTGTCGTATATGAAACACAGAGCATGATAGTCATTTGTAGATGATTATTAGCACATCTCTGCGTTTTAGTTCCGCTATCACTCGAAACCTGCTCTATGTTAGCTTTAATACTCTTCCGCCGATCTCTTATTTTCCTTTCTCCTCTGAGCGGACAATAAAGAATATGTTATTTGCGATTCATTGTCTGGTTAGTTCAATATGAACTAACCCTCCTTAAAAACTAATGACTTCTATTGGCCGTAATTTGCTACAAAGAACCGATAACTGAAGAAATACTACAAACAGCATTTTCATTATTTTTATTGCACATTATTCTTTACAAAACTCTGGCCAGAGTTTAACAGTTCTTTCTCTCGATCGCCCTATGCCATCGTCATTATTCGCCAAAAGTTCCTATCAATTTGTGATTGGCCCATCTGCACAATATTGTAATAATTACTATATTACTTAATTCCTCGTACTTGGAATTCCTCCTTATTTCATTGTTGGCCACGACTGGGCTGATCTCTTAAGGTGACTGATTACAGCTTCCAAACTAAAAATTTATATCTTTGCAAGGCATACTATCACTCACTCATTGGCGTATGACAAAAACGTGCCATACTTGAATGATCTGCATGACGCAATGTACTGAGGCTACATCGCTCATAGCGTGTGCTTAAAAACAGCCAAAAACAACATTTGTTAAACAGTTGATAACTTACTTGCAAATTTGCCACACTGGCATACTGCCAGCTGGTGGATGGAAGTGCATGTGAAGTATATCGAGAGTATACCCTGAGTGAAAGCAGATCCTTTGGAGACGATTCCATGGATACAGGTACTACATTAGTTAAACAATTACACAAACCTACAGTTGTTATTGTTCTTAGTTTCTTAAGCCCTCCAATACCTTCAAACTTTCACCCACCTAAAAAACCCATTTGGGATCCACTGTATCAAACGTGAACAATTGATTATTTTATGCGGTCGCATACAAATCTATCAGCTCACCCAGTTATAATGTACCGCGCACCATCGAAGAGTATACCGTCCATTTAGTTATTTATTATTATTATTTTATTATTTTATTTAGTATTTTTATTTAGTGACATGAAGATTTCATTTCATCTCTTCTGACGCTGGTTACAGGACCGTAACTAAACACAAATATGGGTTCACATTTACAAATTCAAGTAATACAGCCACGCATTCCTACCTGCATACATTCATATTCACCTATCTTATAGATGCCCATGCTACTGATAAAGTTGTGCCGTTATTTACATTTACGTTTTCTAATTTTTTATCACTCTGATTGTCCCTTTGCAGGCGTGTCTTGTATTGTTGAGAATAAAACCTTTATTTAATTATTTAGTAATTGACGTATTTAATCGTCAAGCACCTCAAATTTCTGGGTACGAACTCGTTGTTTAGATTAAGCATTGTGGTTACAATTGTGCATGCAAACAGTTTTGCAATAAACGTTTGCGTACCGCCTTGTTCACTCTGTCTAGCTTATCAGAGACTCGTCGTTACGCCAACTAGTTGTTCCGTTCGGTATTGTTGGCGTGCCCTTCGACAATTTCGATTTTCAACTTACATGCTTACCCTGCGACTTGTTACAGCTCGAACAGTTCGTCCGCACCTCTAACTTGTTCTACTGGGTTTATTACGATCTGCTTAAAAATTCATTTTCAAGTTCAATGATTTCCTTGTCGAAGTGACTTCTGGAGGTTCCCTTGTTTAACATTTTTGTAACCAATCATGTTAAAACGCGGATGCAAGAATTGATGGTATGTGCAACAGCTCCGGATGGGCGCGGAAAAAATTGGTAAACTAAAACAATTCTTCTAAGTTGCTTTAAACGCCGAATCATCCCACCTGCGTTGTGAATGCTTAGTAGTTCTGTGGGTGCAACATAAGCCTCTTGATTAGTGCATAAGAATAACAATGCTTTAAAACGAATTGTCAAAATGGGTTTTTAACTGCTAACTTTGGTCAGAATATGGCTATGCTTTCTGGCCTAAGTTCGTCCCGGTCGTTGCTTCAACGTAAGGCGACTGACCAGTTTTCTGAAATGGGTGGGGAAATGAACTACTGTGGCAATTGGAGACCCTTTTACACACGGGATGTTGTTCAGTCGCTTCATAAGACAAACCATTCATGGAACATTACGCAGTATGATACGCAACTTTAAATGCAAACTCATACTGCGTCTACGCAGTACAGCATCTTCCCTGCAGTATGTTACTTCTCTATGGTATCAATGGAAAGCGACAAGGTAAGTTGAGCGCTGCGGCTTCCGCTAATGAATTACTCATGGATATAATTTGTAATCAGTTGTCCGGTGGTGGTGATGCAATAACTAGTAGCTTAGAGTTTGTTGTCTCTTCATATTAGTGTGCATCGGTAAACACCTTAGAGTAAAGGCTGAGCCATAGCAAACTTACGCATTCTCAGTCACTGATAGCCAGATCTGAATTTTTATTTATTCATTTGGAATTTACTACCAGCTGGGTTGCCTACTAGCTTTCACCTTTATAAGCATTCATGCCAATAGTGTGGCTAAAATGCCAATCTTTGGCATCCTTATACTTTCGTGCGAACTGCACAGGGTCTGAGGAAAATAGAGCACACAAAAGCATGCATATGCTTTCAACTGCGAGTAATACCGCTGCAATCCACTTTCCGGTCCAGCACTTCAAGCAAATATTTGACGAAGTACAAATCGTGAATACTTGCCGACCATCTTCCATCTGACGCGTCATTCGTGGGACCAGAGAAATAAATGTTCAGGAGTTTACTACCATTTATATTGTCAGTATCTTACTGTCAAAGCTACTTAGTACTCTTCGGTTTTATTTTCATTTACTAAGCTTTAGTTTTTATAAATCTGAAGGCATGTGTGCTGCGGCTGAATATTCTGTTGTCCTGAGTGCACAAAATTCACTTTTGTCTTAATTTCTCTAATAACAAATTTGGTTAGTACTTCTACTGTGCCAGTCAAAAACTACTTGTGCAATGAGCCAACATTAGGGACCGTAGGTTCTATTTTTATCAAGCGGTTTCACTCCTCAGCCGGATTATAAAACGATGTATAAAGCATTGGCGAGCGGATTGGATTCGAATAGTTACCATAAAGGCGCCTTTTAGGTTAACTGTTAGACATCACCAACCTACCATCCACTCTTCCACAGTGTCACATTGCGGGGGATCTACATCCGAACGGTAATAGATAATGCAGTGCCTAGGAATTGCAAGATCATTTGGAAAAGTGTGAAGACTTTTTCGTGGTTTGTATTTAAAGCAAACTGTTCCCTGGATCAGAAAACAGGTACTTAGTAGCAAGTTGGCTAAACCGGAAGAGCTAGCAAAGGTGGAAAGCTTAACTTTATGAACTGAAGCCAATTCAAATTGTACACTTTTTGCGCAACAGTTTCCTTGAAAAACCCTACAGGCCTACGGTTCAAAGCTCAGCAGAAATTTTATCACGGTTTCAATCGCGAGCTATTAACGAGTGCACATAAATTTCACGTACCAAAGTAGCTCTTTACCAGCAGCACTGACTGCACAACTTATTTGTCCTTATTCAAATAGCAAAATTTTGGGGGTAAAGCGGAAAATGCACCTAGTAAGCAGTACACATAACTATTTAGGTGGTCTGTCTTTTTCATTTTTCTGTTGTCCGGATAGTTGGAAATTGTTCGTATAGTGCCGATGGCTTGGTACCGATGCAGGGAACTTCATGAACTTAACATTGATACTAAATTAGATTGAGCTACATTCTTTTCCATTCGTTATGCAGCAATTCAATAGTTCAATAATCTATGATGGGTTAGCAAGCATAACATTACAAGATCCACAGGATGGATGGGCAAAAGAAAACTAACATAAAAGGTTTCAACGTAGAACGCAAAACATCGATGGTTTAGCCATTGCACTTTATCAAACAGTTGTGTAGCGTTTAGCGCTAAGATGTAAGTCTAATAGTCTTTTGAATGTCGTGATGTCTAGTGCGTTCACCAAGTATTGGTAATGCATTCTAGTGGGAACAGATTCTAAGTGAGTAAAAATACTTTCTACAATGGAAACGGGAATATTGCATTACTGATATCAGTTAGCGGCCGGGCATTGTTTGTTTGTAAGAGGCTGGAGTCAGCAGCGATGTACATGTGTGCTCGTTCTCAGTTGGAATTCGGTAAATGAAAATGAGATCACCGCAAAGCCATTGGTATATTGAATAGAACACACCGAATAAACGAAGACACAGTTCCTAAAAGACACCAGACAACCTACGCGTTGCCTTGGTGGCTCTTCTTTTTGGCTGCTCCAAAAGGCGAAGGTATAGTTTTAACCATAGACACCTGGCTTAACTTGCATATTCAACGTGAGGACGAATAAATGCGTTAATCCGTCATGGTACTAGCCGTTGCTCAAAGGTGCCTAGAGCTCGCCTCATAAGTCTCAAGTTCAAGTTCACCACACTTGCTGCTTTCAAACATTGGAGCGAATTGCCAAGACTTTGTTGCATGATGATACCTAAGTAACTTTCACTAGCCACGTGTTGCAGGGCGTGTTGTCCCAAAATATATGATTTGATGAAGCAGCTACGCACCGACAGCGCGTGGCATTTTTCAGGGTTCATTTGGAACTGGTTCGTTTCTGCCCATGCGTTAACCCGAGCTAGATCTTCTTAAAGATAGACACGGTCGGATGCTGAGCGAATTTCGCGCCATATTTTACCATCTGAAAATATTTGTATAGGAGATAAAATATTTACGGGAAAGTCATTGATGTAGACTAAAAGCAGTAGCAGACCGATGATAAGTCTTTGTGATACACCACTAGAGAGGCACTGGCTTTCAGAAGGAGTGTGGGATACTCTTACAGTTGTCACTAACTTGTATAACTTAAAATAGTCGGTAATAGTTCGTTGCGTTTCTCTTTCTTTATCAACCAAGCTGGCATACCACATGACCAAACTTTAGGACTGAATGGTCGCTGCAGCCCAGTGGAAGGTCGCATGCTACTGACTAAAATCATCAACTCCTCATTAGTCAGGATCACGTTCAGGAGTGATGGTTTTTCTGAACCGCGGTGTCTGGTTGGTCGATGCACATGGTTGTACAACACTGTCACGTCCATGAATTCAAGAAAATTCGATTTAAATGATGTCCGATTAGGGGACACTGATGCTATTGAATGCACAATGAAGCCGTCCGTTATAAGCTGGTGAGCATACTTTTGTGAAACAGCATGGCGGAGCGGGTTTAACAGAACGTTATCCCTGTCTGCTAACGGCTTCGGTGGCCTGTAGATAATTGCTAAGAAACGAACACCAACATCCATCATCTCGACCTGCTAGGTGCAGTCGGCAAAATAATGCGTCGGGAATAACAAAGGGATATTCGGCAAGGGCCTCACATTGAAAGTAATCTCAATAGTCGAGGGCAAGACCGCCACCGCGAGATGGACGATCATTCCGAATAACTGACATCTCACTGAGATCAATCTCCGGTTTAAGTATGTCGTTTGAAAGCCAAGTTTCAGTAACTGGTATGTGGTCCCAAGTTGTTGTTTCCTGTCGATGGCGCAGTTATGAAGGCTTAGAATACCACCCTTGTGTTGATGTAGCAGCATTTTATGTGTTGACAAATTAGGACCTTGGTTAGCTGTGAGTGACCGGCACCATTTGTGTCGGTCTGTTGAAGTATTTTGTAACGGGTGTTTGCACGGATGTCTGTTCGGAGACAAATACAACCCAGACTGGGCCATCTGTATCTGGGATCTGTACTAATTGAAGAAATGGTCTTAACCGTACTTATTCGAGTGTAAAATTTCCTGTTGTCGTATAACGCTTGGATTGTCACAGATGCCATTTGAGAAGAGCCGAGATAACTTTCAAAATTTTGGCCCGCTACCTTGGTAGTTTGTGGGGCAATTATACGGTTGACATGAAAATCCGCGACATTTTATATGTCCTAGAGCTCTGTGGTGTACCTCCACTCTTTGCTGTTGTGCTAGTGCCGTTTACTGTTATCGTCATGCTTCAGTTCTGGTACACCATAAACCAGGAAAAATATTTTTCGTCTTATTTTGACGTGAGGCACTAGGGTTCGGTTCCCGCTTCTGCCTTTCTGCCCATGGCCTGTCAGGAAAAATGCATGTTACGTAGCTCTCGGTGGAGCTTAAATATCGGTGTGCACACAACTGCATGACTGCAAAGTGGTTAGCGTACTTTCTGGATTAATTCGCATGTTATGAAAACCCCATAGTACGATCAGGGTGAGCAGGCACGTGAAGTGCAATTCGCTGAACGTCGGTAGTTGAACCGACTGAATCCCCAGGGAGTCTTTGTATTCGAACTTACAACGGCACGAAGGCGTCTCTTTGTTTGACCTGTGCTGATTACACAAGTACACAAAGCGAGAGTAAATTCATCACGAGGTTCTTGCAGACTTCGATAGTTAAATTCCTGTCAACTGATTATGGCGAACCTTTTTACGTTTGCTTTACATTCTGGAGTATCTTTTGCTTTGACGTGGCTTCAGGCGTTACCTGAAGTGACAGGTAAACCTGGTGTGAAAATAACGCAACATGACCTCCCGCTATTCATGTGATCGACGCATTTGCTGTCATGGGACGGACTGATAACATCAAATGTGGTGTGCTTCGCTAACTCGAGATTATAAGGTTCTCCAATTTAATTGTCAAACATCTATCTTTGCGATCCCCTTGTATTATTTGGTCGGACGAAATACTTAGGTCGTATTGCACACTGCCGAAGAACAAAGTATATTTTCCTTTTTTCAAAGTTCGTGTATCCGGGTATTAGCAGTCCTATTTACATGGTGGCAACAAATGGAACAGTCGCAATCACATAAACCACGCTGCTCTTAGTTATCAACTAGGTAAACAGTACGGTGTTTTGTTATTTTTTGTTACGGACACTGCTAACAGTGGCTTACTAGTTACGCTGTTCACCAATGATAAAGTGGTATAACCGTTTGGAAAACCTGTCTCTGTGCCAATTGCATTGAATGAGTGTACCAAGAGCATTTTACCTAGTAAAACTTTACGGTATATCTACTGTCACATTTCCCTGTAACAGAAGAATAAAAGAAACGCGTACAAATTGCATTATGTTTCATAAACCTGAATCCACTTCCATCCATCTGTAGCTTAGTGCGTATTCACCCAAGTGAAGAGCATCCACATCACAAATTCTCCGGTCTACCAAATTTCAAAACCACCAAATTCTAGACGGCTCCACGTTCTTCACACTTCGCTAACAATTCACCTGACTAACAGTCGGTAGTCAAGTTACACAAGGTCAGCGACTTTGCTCCTTCCGCATACTTTAGTGGAGAGCAATCGATAGAACAAGCCATAGCGACCAATCAGCTGGGTTTGTGAGCCGACTAATCGCGTTGGTCTCGACAGAACATGTGACCTTCGGGTGTATAAATGATACCAATTGTACTAGCTTCCTCCATAGTTGTGCTGGGTTTATCATGGCATCAAATCCCTCGTTTAGTGAGGTGCTGGGCCATTTCGCCGTCGATTTATACGATCAAATTATCAAAGATCAAAGCTGTAAGTCAGTTGTAATAAGTGCCATTAATCTTTTTCTGTTAGCCCATTTCAAAAATGTGTTTTGGTCTCCCATGAGCGTACATGCTGCAATAGCAATGGTTATGGCTGGCGCTTCTGGTGTGACCAAACAGGAAATTGTCAAGACACTTCATGCTCCAGATACTCTGAGTGAATCACAAGCGCACGAACTATTTGGATCAGCGATTATGGATATCTCACAGTGCTCAAAAAATATTCATGTGTCAATGGCCAATCGACTGTTTCTCCTACAACCGGCCAAAATCCTACCCGAGTATTCCCAAACGTTGATCAAGTATTACAATTCCCAAACGGAGTCAGTGAGTGCAACATCCAAATCTCAATCATAAACAAATCGTTTAGCTTGTTGCATTGGGTGGGTTGGAAGACAAGCGTGTCCATATGAACAAATGGATAGCAAATGAAACCAAAGGCAAAATCAACGATTTGATCCCATCAGGCGCACTCTCTGGCAACACTATTTTGACCATACTGAATGCCCTATATTTCAAAGGTTTCTTTTGTAATTTGCTTAATCAGAATTAGTTTCTCTATCTACTTAGGATTTTGGGAACATCCGTTTGCAAAGCACCGAACTGAGAACGCAACCTTCTACTTGTTGGATGGCAAAACACTTGAAGTACCCATGATGTACATTAAGGCAAGATTGTTTCACTTTTTTCTGGCTGACTTGGATGCGAATGCTATTCGTCTGCCATTTATGGGCGCTCAGTAAGTTGGCTGCTTTAATATGTACCCAAACCTCATCTGGCACATTCTAACCACACAGTTAACCCAAAATGAAACACGCACTCGTGTTAGGCTGTCACCGCAATGATTTCATGCTTTTTTAGTAGCTTATTGCTCCCTCGCAGCAACCGGGTCTCCAGCGCAGATCATTGAAAGCTTTTTCAGTTTCCTGAAAGTGTAAGCTGAAGTGTCAAAAGATATTGGGTTTTATAAACGTTTCTTAGTAACAAAATGTTTTACATGTGACTTGATACGTCTTACTGTGAGCACTTTCATTGTTATCTAAGTTGAACGATGTGACAGTAAGAATACGAAGCTGTGATTTCTAATACGCGGCCACTTTTCAGAACGCATTACCTACTCTCGACGCACTTACCATCCTGTATCAAAGATTATTGTAGTAATCATTAATACTGTTGTTTCGTGAAGTATTTTTACAGATACGTCCAAGATGAGTAGACAGGTGTGCTACACAGTGCTTGTTTTAAATTTATCATGATTTAACTTGGCGGAACAGTCTGTCATATGAGGTGTAAACATAGGGAAGACCAGTAAAGTTCATTTTAGGTCATGTAATCTTGTGCTGATCGAGTAAATGGATGATATCAATGCAAGAATCATAAGTGACAATTGTGTTTTCAATATATTTCCAGTAGGATTCCACTAAAGCGATGCCCGAAAGAGCTGAGGAAACACATCCTGCGATAGCTGAAGTGATTGTGAACAGGCCATCACAACCATAGTCATGCAATCGTTGAGTGCATTCTTAACTCCTCACCTTGTAATAACCCTTATCGAGAGAACGTTCGCCATGAACACTAGGGACGATAGAGTGCGATTATTTTTTACCCTTCGGCTTACCTATTCGTGCAAACGTCTGTGAGCCTGTCGCGGCGCTGGTCACCCGATTCGGTCGATTTAGGTATTGAATGGAGGTGCCAAGCCTGTTTAAACTGCCACACTTGTTCTCAGTGCAGCCCTCCCCAGCATACTGTTGCCTTTATCAGCCTTCTATTTGTATTTACTTGATGTGAATAACCGAATAGTGATCGTATTCGTAATCCTGATCAACTCTTTCACATAATATACCAAAGAACATAATTCAAAATGTGGTGTAGCTAACTTTTAGTTTTGCTCACATGATTCTGTATTTTAAAATGTTCACACCCATACCAGTAAACTACAATTTGAGGACACACGTCAATCTACTTGTTAATTTCGGTATAATAGTACGCCACCCATAAATGTCCAGAGGCATTTAGATATTTCATATTACGGGATAACCCTATCGACCAAATGATTCCAAAGTCAATTTACCTCTCAAAAAGCAGATCACGTGCTTTGCATTGCTTTTGCTGTAATTCGCTGGAAAGGGCAGGTCTGGATTAGAACTGTCATATGGTAAGTGAACTACGTGACTGAGATGATGGCTCTAATCTCATAAGACCGTATCATGGGATAGGTTCTCATGATGCCTGTCTCAACAGATTCCTTCGGTCGATGTGAACTATAATTTAACAAATTGTACGCACCATTTTGACTATAATACTCCGATAAACACTGTCTAACGTCTTAAGTCGCCAAGATGAGGCGACCTTGTCCGTAGTGATTTACTCAACAAGGGAAGAAATGCCAACCTATGAAAAATACGGGTAAAGTTTCACTTAGAAGGTACCAAGCAAAAATGTCTTTTAGCTGCACCATTTTGGCATGGTTGTATCCATCATTTATATTTGATGGATGCATACAATATATACTATTACCAGCTGACATACTCAGAATGGTATTAGAGATCAGTTACACAAATTCTCATCAGCTTTAATGTTTGTTTCGGGTTGCTGGACCGTGACTTTGTCTAATCCGTACACAAGTGAGCTATAATACGTTCGCTATGCCTTTCCATCTCTGCTCACGTCTGGATAACTGGAGTCCGGAACCGATACTGTTGTCAGCTCTGGTAAAACACTATCCGAGAAATATACGTCCTTTTACAAAACTGCGTCACAACTGAAGTTAACAGACAAAGTGACAGTCCTGTAATTTCGTTTACCCTTCCTTCTCGACAAAGCGCTATACTTCTGTGAGCGAGTTCGTCCTCGTTCATACTCTCCAAGTAGAGTTTAGCAAAACCAGAATCCTCACTGGGAAGTAGTGGTTTTTTGCCAGAATCCTTCGTTACCATTACTCTAGGCTGCACCGGTAGACTCTGTTGAAACAGGCACCATAACAGCAAATATTGAATATTATTTAATTTCAATTCTGCGAAAATTAAGAGTAAAAATATGCATATCATGTCAACCAGTGATCTTACTTTTAATATGAATCAAGAGGTTAGTTGTATAAGTAGCAAAATAGCCTTTTCCGAGCTATCTCGCATGTAGGCTTACATCGCATGCTAGTTGCAATCACCTCTCACTTGTGTCATTTTCTCCATTGTTTACTCTGGTGTCACCACCCCAGTGGAATACAACAGCTGTCTAAATCGTAAAATTCCGGTTCGTCTTTGATTTTGTCTACTCCGTTCGGGGTATGATAACACTGTTTCATGAGCTATGCTCCACCTTTGTCGTGACTCTGATTACGCTCATTACTGGTTGGGTGATTTGATCGATACCTGAGCGTGTATGGAAAAGAGACGAAGACGACAGCGCGCTCATCCACCGCAGTTTACAATCACACAACCAGCAAGCACCACGGTGCCAATGTGCATGTGGCAGAATTAAACCGAATGGTACTTTGGACTATAGTCACCTTAAATTTGGTCACAGCTGGAAATCTTACTATGCTTACCGAGGCCCCGAAGTTAAGTGAGCAACTTAACTACTCTCCGAATTTTCAATAGTTCAATAGTTTATGATGGGATAGCAAGCATGGCATTACAAGGCCCATGGAATAGAAAATGAAGCAGAAAATTAAAATCAACAATTATTCCGGGTGGAACGCAGTTTATCTGCAGTTTAGCCATTGCACTTCAGCACCATGTTGTGCAGCGTTTATTACTAAGATGACACTCGTATAGTGTTTTGAATGTCGCGATGTCTGGTGGGTCACCACTTGTTTGTAGGGTTGTTATCAAAAATTGGTGCACTGTTATCGGCATACTCCAAGTCAGGAAGACCATCACCTGGGAATTACTCAGCATCTTCTAAGTCGAATCCGTTAAATGCGTCTCCCACATTTCCGTCATTAGTGCAGTGAAAAAGAAGCGGAAGGGGTTTTCATGCTTCACACTATTGGAGTTGCTAAAGAGCGATCGCGGTTCATAATAAGCGGAAGTACAGTAGTTTTTACCTATTTCTTGGGCACAATCATCCCAAAACGTACAACGATCCACCAAATAGACAACAATTTTTATGTCGTGCAAATCAATTAAAGTATACCGGGGTTGGTGATGGATCGCAAGTGTACTTTTCTACGCTCCAACAATGGTCTTATTATGAATTTGCAGTCAATAAGCTTAGACTTCGACAAAATCGGCTTGCAGTTTATGAATCTGGATTTTACGCGCGCCAGCCATTTTATGGAGTGTGCCAAAGGCAGACAGATCAGACGCGACATAGACCAACTTGATCAATCTCGGATTGCCGTATACCAGATGTGAGCCCCACGCTTGAAGATCGGGACTATACCAGAACAGTGTTAGAATATTTAGCAGCTTCCACAGTTTCACTGATAAATCGTGCAACTCATCTTCAGATACTGTTCACCCAAAGATGAAGAGAGCTGACGATCCGACCAAACACAATCAAAAGTACGGCGTTACATTCATAAAACTAAGCGACTCAGCCAAACACATTCATACCTACAAAAACACATACACCTATCACATTGATTCATATACCACTGATAAAGATTTACCGTTATTCACATTTACCTGTCATGTTTATACAAGCGTGTTTCGCGTTGTCGAGAATAAAACCTTTAATTAATTATTTATTTATGTATAGTCCCTCAATCTTAGTATAATACAACGGTCTGATCTCACGTTTTTCTTTCAATGGAGTGAACGGATACTGTGTTCACATGAAGCAAGACGATCGGTATCCGATAAGGAATCTGATTATTCTGATTGCGTAAAAGTCGTCAGCATTAAAATTTACGGTCTGCTCACGTCACAAATAGTTTCGCTAGCACCAAATCTCAATCAAGCCATTTTCTGTAAGAGACAGAATAAGTCCCAATGTTCACCAGGAGCACCATCCGTTTTTATCTCCAATTTACTATATGACCACGCAATTTTGCGGTCCTTCTTTAAGCTAGCACGCACTTTTCCCGAGGAATTCTCCATTTTCATTCTGTTTACATCCGGCCAGAATGCGACTGCGCGAGTCGAAAACTGTCAGAAACTAACCAGAGGCCCACAGAGGCACATGCTGATAGTTGGAGTTGCCACTGGAAAACATGCATGCATCAATACCGTTTTTCTCCAGCAACGCCACGGTTGGATCGCGTACTCCACGCAAGCCTCATGTAAGAGTTCAGCATTTTCGCGAAGCTAGATAGCTTGAAATATCCGAAAGCCCTCTGTAACAGTCTAAGGTGTTGACTGGCTCTTTTCGATGCCCTTTTAGCCTAATACGAATAGCCAAAGTCAAGCCGAAGGATTACCATGATGTCAATTTCCTGCGGAGTACGTTGCAGCTGCTGGCGCCCAAGTCACCAATTAATGTACGTCCATGATGCATGCTCGAAGCATTGCACTTGGTCACATTGAACTGGAGCTGGTTTTCTTATGACCTGGGCCCTGCCGAGACCTGCAGGGCGTGTGATTGTCCACAGTCTTGATGTCATGCCAGATCTAGACATTGTCTGTAAATAGTAAAAAGTGTGATCGGCGCACACTGGCACGATGGTTGATGAAGAATGGGAACAAACGTGGACCCAGTACCGATCCTTGAGGCATACCACATTGCAACTCAATTGTGTCACAAATGGAGCTGCGAGTTCTTACATTCAGTCAACGTTTAATGAGAAAGTTGCTT